ATATATCGATTGGAATCGATTAGCCAGTGATACTTATTTTATCCGAACCTGGTCGATTCGTTGCTAACAACCTTTGAACAAATCAGGGTTTGCGGGTGTATAACTTCCTAGTAAACGCCAAGTGAATGTTTAAATTCTTCGCAAGTTGCAGAGCTATTTCTCTTGCCGATCCTCTGCGTCTCTAACTCGCTTCTCGGTATTGCGTAATCACAGTACCAGGAGGTTCCCAGATTTCTGGATACCTGGATAGGAAGTCCGTCGCGCGACAAGAAAGCGGAGTCGCAGCGCGTGCCATGGTACATTCTGTTTGACTTGACGCGAAATCACCACAGTACGCGCTGCGACTCGTCCGCTGACTCTACTTTCTTGACGCGCGACGGACCTCGTGTCAGGTACCCAAAAAACTGGGGACCCCTTGATTTCTGACCGCTGTGAGGCTAGGCAATTCAACATTTTGTATATATTGCTGTTTGGGAGGTCTCACAAAATGCACACCATTACAGCATTTCCGCTTTCTTCATTTCCTTTGGAAGGCTTAGCCCTACTACTATTCGAAGCTCATGCTTTTCTATCTGCACACTCACCCCTTGATTGATAGAAGCCTGCCAACCGTACCGAAATCTTATACCTTATGAACTTACCATTAGCATGTTTCACAGTGCTCATATTTCATATAATTCATTTTAATTTTGAAAATAAGTTGACCATCATCAATCAATTTCGTTGAATTTTCTTCTGTCGCAATCAAGTAATTCTTCATTGTGGCTCCGTTCACCTCGTTGCAATTTTGCTTTCGTCAGTCGTTCTTGTAGCAATTGTCCGGCTATGTGCTGTAAATCTGTTCTTCAGAATCTCTACACACATGTTATTACATTCGTCACGATGACTATGAGCGCACGGTCGTATCTGGCGCCAATTGGCAGCCCAGGACCTTTGTTTATACTTCTGGTCGTCGCTGGCGTCGTACAAATGGCCCATGGTGAAAAGTATCTACTCTATCATGTTCAACCCAATGATGCACGAGGAATGCGTGTATTACGGCAGCTACAAATGCTTGATCATAAATATCAGGTGGGTTACGGTATTGAATTATTGGATACAACTTTCGGGAACTAGCGCTTGAAGACAGTGAAATGTTTGGCGTAGAACTTCTTCATGTAAAGTTTAAGTTTCTCCGCGATTACGGACAAAACGCAAGGTCGAGGCCACTTCTGGTGAAGGGGGATTTCTTAAAGATGTAAAACCAAAGCTGTGCTATAGGTGAGAAACCCACATGATCGCCAGCACTCGACTAGGGAAGTGGTTCGAAGCTGAATAACTTCTCGAATACGCCATGCTTTCGATTTACCTTCGAAACCGTGGCACAATTCAGTGCGTACGAAGCATGTACAACTATCTGACTGGTTATCAGGTCCATCAGAGTTTTCGTTTTTGACGACGAGTCTCGCATCAATTAGCCGACTCCCGCCGATTTTTGACTCTTTGACTCAGTACTGACACTGAAGTTTATGTACGAATGCCGACTTATGAAGTGAACTGTGGCGCTCAGCCGGGCTGAACCTCGTGTGGAGTGCGCGCAGAAGCCTGACGGAGTGTTTGCACAGCGCTCAGTTTTGTGCATATTGGAAGATTTGCTTTGTTCCCAGTGACACCCCATTCCTCGATTTCTTAGGGATAAGGGATAGCTGAATTTTTCTACCGATGATGCCATGTACCTTGTTGGATCGCGCCGTACATCTATAGAATGCCCTCGAATGGAAGCACTTATATTATTAACACTTGCGTGTGAGCTCCAAGTCGGGCAGTTTAAATATTTTCTATTCCTGTAGGCCCATGTGGCCGTGGCATAGATCAAATAATCCTTAAAAGATAGAAGGAGGAGCCCACCTGGGCAGATTTAGGTTCAGAGTTTGAGTCTCGGAAAATTCGCGAGGCAATAGATTCCCCTGGTGCCCTCTGTTTCGTCTGAAAGTGACAATTTTGAAATAGATGGCCGGGGGACGAAAGGAGAACGTATCGGAAGCGGCGGTGTGAGGACACAAACATTATCTCGAAACGATTTTCACCCTGGGGGAAAGGACAGGCCGACACAGTTCTTCTCGCTTCCTTTCGCATTTCCAAAACGCCACAAAACCATGATAATCACGAAATTCCTTGAATAAAGGCGATTTTTTTTTATCTCATAAAATTCTGCCCAATGAACAGATGGAAGGGTGGTGTATATGAAAAATGAAAGAATGCAAGCAAACTAGTTACGGCATTTAGTGAGCAAATTTGTTCTCATGAGGCTACACACCCAATAACGAAATGGCCTTCGCTTGTTAAGTTGTCTCAGACGTATTATAATGGTAAGGTGTTGCTGTAATCACCTAAATTTCGTCTTCAAAATTCTTTTCATTAACAATTTCCGTTGCTTTTTGTAGAATCCCCTCTTTTCAGCACTAAAGTATCCACATATCAGATTTTGGCTGACCATTTGATTTGAGGGAGGAATTCAGGATAAGAATGAAAGTCAAAGAAGGGGAAAATTGCATAGTTTGATGACAGGCGGAACCGTATAAGGTATGCTTACGGATAGGCGGACCTCCTGAGGGTGCTGACCGACGCGCAATTGGCAGCGAAAGATTTGACCTCGGCGATCTAGCATGGCTCACTCTTGGCGCGGTTGGCGGGGTACGCCCACCGACTATCTAATCACTCGCCTATACGTGGCGAGTGATTAGATAGCAGAGAGAGCGTAGTGTTGAAGAGGGCACAGCGATGAGAGTCGCATCAATGCGCAAATCAACGGGCAAGGAAGGGGTCCCATTTCTCGGGTTCTGGGCCGTTTCTCCCTCTACCCTTACTCCCAATAAACAACCTTTTCATTGTAAATCCTACCTTTAAGCAATCGTAATCGAGCAATCACTTCCTGTCTAATCAGCGGAGCATAACATGATAGCAATCACGTTCAGTACCACATGTAGTCACTACCCGAGTAATGCAGAGGGATTCGGCCTGCTGAAAGGCAGTGAACACGATGGCTCTACGTCGGAGCGGTTTTGACGACGTCATTTGTTACCAGACCCATCAGCCGTTGTGGGTGGATTTCCTCCTGACGCTCTTGAATCAATGAAGCCCGATGGAATCAGTGAAACCACTCCGCCTTTCAGCTTTTGTGTTCACTGCCTTTAACCGTTTCGTATGCGTAGAATGAAGAAACGCCAAGGTTCGTCTGATAACCGTACTTTTCTCAATTTCAGGTTGATTTCTGGAAAGAACCAAATCATTTTGGTGATTTTGCCGACATAATGATCTCATCGAAGAATGCGCTTGCTATGGAACGTCGCTTTCGGAGAGCAAATATCACGTACGATATTCGAGTACCAGATGTGGAAAAGTGAGTTCATTAAGCACCAAGAGTAACCTAGGATAAGCATTCCACATTGTGGCTCATTGCCACTGAATTTATCCTTGGTGTCGGTTAGAAGGGTGATCGGTGGAATATATAACAAACGGCGCTAAATGGCTACTAGGCTATGCTTTTAAGCACCTATATTACGATACTATCCTATGCCGTTATGTACTGAAGAATAGTCTGGGAATGCGCCATGCATGCGAAGTCGAACACAAAAAGGAAGGCATCGAATACGTGCTCACATGAGGACCTACTGTGGCCAGCCACCCAATACAGAATAATTATGAAATGAATTCCAGGCTTATCATGAGAAACGAACGAACAAATCGACGACCGATCCTCGATAGTGAGCGTGAGTTAATCAGGACAGTCTTCAGGTCTTGAAAGCAAGCCCAAGGATAAAATTAGTGCGTAGGAGCATCACTCGCGAACTTGGGGTAAGACTGAGCTTAACCCATAACGGACGGCCAGTGTATTTGTTGCGTGCGCCACCATGTGGCGCACGCCGCCACACAGGGTAGGGTTTATGTAGGCTTATGCGAACAGCAGGGTTAAGACGGGGCTAAAGTAGGTGTCCTTGTCTCATCATCCAAAAGAAGAGATTTCCGTTGACGACAACTTCGTAACCCGCCTTTCCGCTTTAAAACTAGGGTGCAAAGAATGAATGGAAGCTGCAGGTGAAAATTATGGAAAAATGCGAAACAACAATAAAGAGCACAAACAAATTCGAGCAGCATGCGGCCCATAATTTAGGGGGAAGGGGTCTCGGGACGAGTGAACCATCTGTAAGCCATCCATCAAATAGTAAGCTTATGAAAATTAAGACAAAGTGTATGTAAAATTTATTGTAGGTTTGTCAAAAATCCACTCGTCCAGGTCCTGGGAAGATATGTTATTCCACATTGCTGAGAGTATATACGGGTATATTAAGATTGCTAGAAACATTCCAAAAACAAAAGAAATAATCGTGCGCCACCATGTGGCGCACGCCGTCCGTTATGGGTTAAAAGGAAAAAACAGGCAAAAACTGTCAATAACGCTCTAAAATAATGCGCCCTTCGTATATAATGAAGAGGAACGTGTCTAGACGAACCCTGCCAATGAGTGCCTAGATCCTGGCCTTGCCTTTTGATATTTTGTCTGTTTGTTTATTTATTACGTTTGCCGTAAAGCAGCTTTAGAGCAGAACTAACAACACACAGTGAGAAAATGATGAGCAACACAATTATAAAATGGATTTTAGGCGTGAATCTCAAATCAAATTGTTATATTTTGTGATTTGGAGTTTAGTAGAAGTAATTTTTCAACTTTCAATGTATTGGGAATAGCAATATTTATTGTTATTGTTATATATGAGCTAGCAGCTGTGAATGTGAAACTTTTGGCTCTAAGATTGGTTCTGGGCCTAGCTATAAGGATTTTAGTCTGACAACCCCTTGTACGAGAGTTTGTATAGGTATAGAGTTGAACGGTTTTGAATTCTTGGATTGGAAGTAACGAGTACTAAGCGCATTATTGAAAAGAACCAGGAAGTTCTGTCGAGTTGCTTTGACGACGCTTAGAACTGTCTCAAAGTTTTGTTGCCATTTTATGGGGTTCGAACAGGTGTAATGCGATTGTAATTGGTGGGAAATAAAGGAGCAGCTTCTCTTCGTAGCCCTAATCTGGGTAGCTACTACATATTTTGATTTTAGTTCAATCATTACATGTTAAAGGCATGCCCCAGGATCACATTGGTGTGGCTCTTGTACACGAATGCGAATGTATTGGTGCGAAGTGGGCCGGCAGTGAAAAAAAGGAAAAGAATCCGTCAAAAACGCTTAGGTTAAGGGCTCACTCACCTTCCTAATCGGCTGTGCTAAGGAATGAGAGACTAAGCGCGGAGAGGAGAGTATGGGCGAGAGAGCGCTACAGATGAGAGAGCGCCAGACAACAGCCTGATAAAGAGAAAAAGTCTGCAGCTTGGGCAGCTTACTTTGCAAGGTCAAGCGCTCTTATCGGTCGGTTTCCGTGCACGAGATGCACATTTGTGATCGTCATTGTTAGGAGTCTACGTTACGACGAGAGAAGCGTGCACACGACTCTGCCTAGATGTGCCTATAACGCAATGTGAAGTGGAGCATGTGCGTATAGAAAGGAACCGAATAACAGGGTGCGCAAAATTATGGCAGAAGCGCACTTCGAGTTTGCAGAGGATGAGCTGCCGAATTCTGAAAACCAAAAATGCACTAACGTTCACACTTTCATTCGGAATTGTATCGGTATTTACAAAATGTAAATTCTTGGTCTATTATCTAACGGGCCTTGAAGAAGCACTGTTGCGAAACATAGACTGTGCGCACACCGACTACATGCGTTTAAGGCCTCGTCCTCTCATCTAAGAACGATTTCTTTAACGAATCCCCTAGAAGTTAAGATAGTATTATGCAAGATAGGCAGAACATGTGTGTGCTGTAGTTGGAATCTGGGAAGCAGGTGGAAGCGACTTGGCCCCTCGTAATTTTCAAGAATGACCGCAAAGCTTGACTCTGAGGCTATGGGTCCGATCTCGTGTAGGCTAAGCTAGATGCGAGAATGTTGAGATCGTATCAAAGACAGAACGCCATCTGAGGCCACCTGCGGCATTTACTGACCTGAAAATGACCCGTACAACAATACATCTACTTTTACTTTTGAGCGCAATATCCGCCACCTAGGTTAATCGCGGAAGGCCGAGATGATGTCAACGTACATGTTACGTGTGGACAGCCTATGGTATAAGAATCATACCATGAAAAGTGAGTCTGGCAATGAATGGTGCCCGGAGCGTTATGTGGTATCGCACTTTGGCCGTAAGCGAAGAGGTGCGGATCTAATCCGTCTGCGGAAAGATTTTGTTCACAATTCAGCTTTGCTTGGGAACAATTTGGGTAGCCAACTGCATCCAAAAAACAGCAGTTGCAAACAACAATAGTCAAGAATCCTTAATTTTTGTTGTGCTAATATAGATTCTTATTTACCGTATTGATTTATATTTAGATATATAGCATATTTGGTTTTGATGCCCTATCTATTATGTTTATTTTTTCGAGCAGGACACAAAAACATTACACGGGCGCGATTTTATTGTTGCACAATAGCAAATTATATTCTGTGAGGACTCATTCCGTGTCAACGAGAGACTCCTGAGAGATCGGCGCGATTATTGCACTGCGAGGCACTGATTTCGAGTTTGAGTTTCATTAGGTTCGACCAGGGACACTGAAACTCGCCTCGGTGTAATGGAGACGAAGATGCTGCGCTGGACGGCTGGTGTCACGCGATTAGATCGCGTCCGGAACGATGTCATACGAGAACGCTTTGGTGTAGCTCCCATTGCTGATAAAATGCGCGAAGCTCGGCTTCGTTGGTTTGGCCACGTTCTTCGCGGAAATGATGACAGTGTTCGCAAGATCGGCCTCAACATAGACGTGCACGGAAAGCGGCCCAAGGGGCGCCCGAAACAGCGCTGGCTCGATACGTTGCACGCAGACTTGAAGTTGGTTAACATCCACCCCGACCAAGCATTTAATCGGGAAAAGTGGCGACAGCACATCAGAAAAAGCGGACCCCGCCAACAAGCGGGACAAACGCTGAAGAATAAGAAGAAGAAGAAGAAGAAGAAGATGATTCCATAGGTTATTGCCAATTAATCGCTTTTCAGCCGATGGTGATCAGTCTCGTGTGGGAAAACTCAAAAAGGCTAAATATTCCTTCGGTGACTACGCATCCTATGCAGACATGATGAAATATATGCGTACAATTGAAGTTCTACTATCCAAATATCACGAAAATTGTCCGATTGGGTACCACACATGAAGGCCGGCCGATTGAAAGGCATGAAGGTGAGGTCCCTCAACGAGTTGCAGCCAAACTCCAAACGACTGCGTGCCATAGTGGTATCATTTCAGATCGGTTATCCGATATCATCGACAGACAAGCGGGCGATCTGGGTGGATGGTAATATTCATGCCAGAGAATGGGCAAGCAGTCACACCGCTCTCTATTTTATCAATCAGGTTCGTTTAGATAACTCAAAGTTCTCGTCCCAAGACTTATAGACGGAGGCAGGCGCTTCTTCCTTCGAAGGGACGTCTGTCGGGGAAAAATCCCACTATGTCGCTTTGAAATTCTATTACGGTAATGGGGAATCCAAAGGGGCGCTCCTAGGACAACCCAACCAATAAATGGAGATTACACGCTCACCACTTACGTCCACCATTATACTTATCCGGTTACGGTAAGGATGAAACGATCACACACTATGTGAACAGTCTAAACTTCTACGTTCTGCCGTGTCTGAATCCGGACGGCTACGAATACACGAGATCATCACCGAATCCAAGTGTAAGTGAGTATTTATCGATCAATTAACTATTTCTTCTGGAGAACTTCGAAATTCTTTGACATGATCTGGAACACTGTACCTTTAGGTCCGTCTGTGGCGTAAGAATCGCTCTCCAGAAAGATGCAATCGTTCACTATGGGGTGGAGAGAAGTGCTGTCAAGGCGTGGACTTGAATCGCAACTTCAAATTCCACTGGGCTGGTTCGTTCGTTACATATTTTTAAAGGCAGAGATTACGGTCATTCGGTAGTCAGCGAGAAAATGGAAGTAGAAGTCGATAGTCGCCTGAGCGACGGAAATACGAATGAAACGAGTAGAACCGCTGAGGGAAAGACGAGGTAGGGGAGGCACTAGCGACAGGCGGGGCTGAGTCAACAGAACGCGGCCATTTTTGGGCTGCCAGGTTGCAACTTTCAGATTCTTTCCTGTTAGTTTTTTGGCTTGGTCCCTACGCTGCTGGCAACGCATATACCCTAATCAGTTTATTTCTCCTTCCCATTAGGCATTGCACGTTTTACGTGTCCAAATCTCACTCGGTGCAAAGAAATTGACCTAGAGTAAAGGTTGTCAAAGGTCTGTGAGACTATCACGTGTGAGGTGACCCGGACGTTGCCGGCTCCCCATTCCTGGGTCTATCTCCTTATCAAAAAAGCGACGCACCTAATGGGAGGGAATTGCATAGACAAGCCACAAACCTCTTGGATATCGCTCTCGTTATCTCGCTGTCACTGCCTTTTGAAGTCTTAGGTTAGCGCAAAATCGTAGCCGGCTCAAGCTTCAAGTTTGAGCACATTTTGCCATGGAGCCAATGAAGGTGAGCATCTTACCTTCCTAGAAAAAATGTCGACATTTTTGTTAAGAATCCGGCTCGTCGTACGAACCATGTTCAAATATCTATCACGGCGATCACGTATTCAGTGAGCCAGAATCACGGTAAGTACCGCCCGCATTCAATCCACATTTTGTTAATGTGGACGAGTTTCAGTGCCGTGCGCGACTATTTGAATTCGGACGAGCTACGTGGAAGGTTGACGGATTCATCACACTTCATTCTTTACGCTCATGTGGATTTACCCATACAGTCATGCTCAGCAGAACTATCCAGAAGACATCAGCGAACTGGTAAGTAGGTTATGGGATACTACGCCCATGTGGGACAACTTGACTCACCTAACTACTCGTGGGACAATTTTTGCTCTTCAGAGACGAACGCTCGTCGAGCCATCAATCGCCTACACCGTCAATATGGCACTGAATATCGTATGGGAACAGGAGCCGACACATTGTGTTAGTTATCCGTTTAATTTGTTGGACGAGTTTTCCCACACATTGATTTTTATTTCACAGCACCGGCTTCCGGCGGTTCAGATGATTGGGCAAAATCCAACGGGATCAAATACGTCTACTTGGTGGAATTGAGACCGGAATATGAGCGTACGGGTTTGCATTTTGCGCGCCGTTTCACGCGCGCACCAACCAATCAATAATTTTATGGCATTTCAGTATCGAACGGATTCATCCTGCACAAAAAGGAATTGCATTCAAGCTGTAGAGAACTTCGAAAAGGTGTTTAAGGTGAGTCACCTGTCTACGTTTTGACCAAGATGCCTCTCTACCAACGAAATCTGTTATTGACAGTAAGTAACTCGATAATGAATACTGATGAAGCGGTTACAAAGCCATGATAAGCACTAAGCACGGACCCTCTGGGTACGCCGGCTCCGAATTTCATACAAAACCTTGCATCCTTATGAACGCTCGTCTCGAGCTCACCATGACTGGGCAGGCAGTTGACACTCATTTAGTGCTTCCAAGCGTACAGGTCACTCTGACTAGTTACAATCTCTATGAACAGAGAGAAAGGCGAGCTGCGTTCGAAGATATATACTAAATTATACTCTGTCTACAAAGCGAAAGAACAACGCTTCTGGCCTTCGCCGTCCCTGCCACACGTCAACTTAGGACAAGGTCCGGGACTTAGCCTCACAGGCGTAATGTACCGAGCAGAGGTAGGTGTGGTTGTGCTCCGACAGAGGATTGTGTAATTCGCCACATCAGACGGGCATACATATTGCCATGATGCTAGTGGCGCTAAAGGACAGTGATCAAATCTCACAAAATTTACCAGGGCCCGCCACACTCTCGATATTCTTATGTTGGTCACACGCTTGATACTGACCCTCTGCTCTCTCGAGGCCGATGTCAGACTTTGCGAATCGCGCGATTCGCTAGCGTCTGCGGTCGCGTCGCGGCCAGTGAATCACTCAATTGGCTGGTACCGCAACGCGACCGCGGACGCTAGCGAATCGCGCGATTCGCAAAGTCTGACATCGGCCAAGCTGGTGTCAGACTTCGCGATCAGTTATTCGCTAGCGCAATCGCGGGGTTTCCCAGCGCATCGGCTACTGTGCCCGGATCTTTTCGAATATATGAACCAGTGACTCTTACGACACTATTTCGAGTGGCGGAACTCCTCTATTTGTACGTTTGACTTTCGCCACTTCCCCGAGCTCTTAAGCCCTGTGCACCGGGAGAAGTGGCGAAGAGCAACGCATTAGCACCAGACTTGCATAGAAGTGGGTGATGCAGGTCGATGGGCCGCGCGAGAGCAGACGTGCTTAGTGCGGAAAAGAGTATTTTTTCGATTGGCGAATTCAGTGTTGAGCCCATCATATGGGGGGCCTCCTATTCTTCTTTATAAGGTTTCGCCTTTCTTTCGACCTTCGACTTTATCGCTGCGAATCCTCGTCCAAATGAACGTTACTTATAGGACACCATTCTTTACAGGAAGTTATTGAGGCGGTGCTGGAACACAACAAGATCATCAAGGATCCACTGTCACGTATCGCACCTCAACTCAGAAAGAAGCAACTATGTGCGTTTTGCTATCCCAGAAGTCGAGTACCATCCGTAGAAAGCCTGAAAGTCGTTGTTACAGATAGAATGCGTCTACTAGGAATGGCAAATGCAGATCCAATTACGACAACTACGGAAAGCCGATTGACACAACAACCTTTTGACACGAATAGCTAACGACAACTCGAAGTAGTATTTCTACGCACCTGCCACCTTAAAGGAATCTTCCACGGACCATGGACCAGTGGGCGGGACCGGAAGTGGTTTTGCGACGAAATGCATGGTAGGTACGGATCCACGTTCATGGGAAGGTTTGAAGTGAATCCTGTTCACGTTCGTGCGTTCGACACGTGGATCCGTACCTACCATGCATTTCGTCACAAAAACTTCCGGTCCCGCCCACTGGTCCATGGTCCGTGGAAGATTCCTTTAAAAATTTTTTGGGACCGTTCAGGGAATCGATAATCGATTTTTGACAAAATTGACGAACTTGAAAGCATCATTTTATAGTCCTTCCAACAACAACACTCACAACTACTGAAGCTACAACTACTACCACACTGGCTGATTACAGAACAGAACTAGCAGAAACGGCGATACCGACAAGGTAAGCACACATCCGCAAAGGGCTGGATAACCATGACTGAGTGGGAAAATCCGGCCTGCATTTTATAACTCTTGGAAACAATCTCTGCACTACCTATATATTAACTCCATAGAACAGTAGGTGAAGATGGCAGAGCCGTAATTGCAGTTTTCGAATGGTCAGATGAAAAAGCGCCATCGTAGGTTAGCATCAAGCATTAGAAAGCCGCCCACTTATATACCCATTTTTCTTTCTTGCCGTCGATTAGGTGTTTGTATAGAGTCCGCAACTGCGAACTCGCATCGCGGGCTCGGAATTGGAGGGATTCAGTGATTGCGTAAACCAACCTTCAAAAGAACGCGAGATTGTCGCTTGCAGATTTGATTTGGGTGCTCACACGTTGATAGCCGCGGCCTAACACAAAGCGATCAAGTTTAGGTTCCTCATTCATAATTTTCAAAATTGAAGGGCACGACCTTGGCTGACATATCGTCCACGAAGAACGTCGATGTCGACAAAATGGCGAAGTGTGCACTTTCAACAAATACACTACCTTCGGTGAGTGAAAGATTTTCTAGAACGGACTAATTTTTTCCTAACGGAGTGCGCCGTGCACTAGTCCCTTCTATCAAAAGAAAGGAACATTTCGTATGACGACTTCGTGACTTGAGCGAAACAGATCGTGGAGGGATGCTAGTCGAGAACTATTTAGCAGGAACCGTTCTTAAAAAATTTGCGTTTCCAATTTGTGGGACTGTTTTTTGGTTGGAGAGAAAACAGTAGAAGTTTTACTACGTGAATCTGGCAAGACAATATTTACTCAAATGACCTTATACGCGAATGACCCGTTTTTTTCTGAAATTGCCGCAAACCGATGGAGAGACGCGTCTTTGTTCAGAGAACGAATTCAAGGCCGAGGGAATACTGGCCAGATGTGATCCATTGTGTCAGATTTAGATGAAATCATCTCGTCCAAGCTAAATTCGCACTGATCCATCTTACACCAAGCAAAAACGCTGATCCACATGAGATTGTATTCAAACAATCTTTCTGACAAAGGGGATAGAAGAAGTCAGCGAGAATATCGCAATTGATGCCTTTGGTAAGACTTCAATCCAGTGCGCGGCAATGGGCGCTAGGGCCTTCAAAGTGAGCTACTGACGGCAGTAATGGTTGAGGTATCTCGCGCATACCCAACGACAAACCATATGGATTACGACTCAGCGGCTAATTCAAACACGTGCGGGTTAACGGAGCCATGGAGCAATCGCGTCCAGACAACTCGTCCGGGACACGCCTTCGTATTTCGAAGGAGCCGGGATATAGAGAATACGTGCTAAGGCGTATCGATCGGCAGGTCCTGTTTTGCTTGGCTTCTTTTTTCACTTCCAGTGGCTCGGCATCCTTAATTCCATTATCGACCGCATTAACCCCACCAATTTGATCTGGGGTTGTAGCTTTGAGCCACGACTTGAGATGGTTTTGTGAGAAGTGCAGTGGGAATCCCAGAAGTCTGTCGGATGGGAGAATGGCTAAATCGGTGATCACCTCCCAAGTACCTTCTTGGTAAACCCCACTACTCTCGTTCGTTTGTTCGTGATTTCGGTTTTGTTCGTCCTCAAAAGACTTCTGTTCAGATGCCAATGACGACAGCAGAAGGCAGTGCCGTCGAAGATTCCGCAGAGCTGATACCTACGACGTCGATTCCAGAGGAGCTGACTGCCGCTGAGACACCGACGCTGTCGACGGTGTCACATCGGACAACTGAAATCGTCTTCTTCACGCACACCCGCCCGTCCACGTTCAGAGATCCTGCATGCCGTGACATGCGCTATTCGTGCGCTTTCTGGCTGCAGCACAATCCGGCCGTCTGCTCGGAGCAGGAATCGTTCATGAAAGGCCAATGCGCGTACACCTGCAAATTCTGCATCTCAGAAATGGACCTTGCGGACGCGGCGGCCGCGGCCGCAACCGCAGCTGCGGAAGCGGCGCAGCGGCAGAGGCGTCATTTATAGTTAGTAGCGCGCTATTTTTGTCAGTTGTCCACACATTCCTCATATTCACTGATCCACTGACGGGTACCAGTGTGCGTTTATAGTACATATATGTATGTCATCGTTGATGTTTGTGTTAAATATGATATTTGTATTAGTTATCCATATGTAGTGAAACAGAGTACATGTATGAAGTAGCAGTTTAGTTGCACTCAACTCCTGTGTATTTGCTCAAACCCAACCACTGTCCTTCAACTTCAAGCGCAACCCTGCGAGACCCTTTCCTTGGTCTCGAGTTCAGGCACACCAGCTAACCCGTAACTCACTAGCCACTTTTCCATGCCTTACTTTCAGCCTTTGAATTGCCCATTATATACTAATAAAGTTGTTAACATCGAATTTTGATCAAGGAATAAATATTTGAAATTTTTTAACTACTTAGAAATGTAGAGGTTAATCAAATCACACAACGTAAAGAAGGTCAAGTGAGACGTAATAAGTGGCCCCCTCGAACTACATTTTCATCGATGTAACTGTTAGAATTAGATAAAGGATTGGGCGTCGATTTGGTCCATGACACCGAAAGTTCCCGGAACCCGCCCACTCATCCCTTTACGTTAACTATATCGAGTGAGAGTGACTAAAACATCTTCAAAAAATTAATTCAAAGAGGTTGCTAGTGCCGTCGTGCTGTTACTTTGAGAAGTGGAAGGATTTAGCCGTAAAACTGGTGTAAGCCTATACAGGGAGGGAAGGTACCGGCGGTTGCTGGGGGACCAATCTGGTATCAGTTAAACACACTCACCCATACGTCCAATATCTGAGCGTATAACCATAACTCGTTTATAATCAACGGGACAAAATCAGGTTCCCAGTTTTGGGGACGCTCAAACGGTTTTTTTCAGGGTTTTTTTTCTACACTGCCGTCCCATCTTCGACCTCTGCGTCTTAAAATTATCATCGCCACCCACTTATCGCAATATTTGATTTCATTCTTGAGGGTTGTTCTGATAAAAGGGGAATGAAGGCTGTATGTTGTGCAACACATAGCGCCGCCTAGAGGGATTTTAGCGAAGGGAGAAGGCTTCGTTGGGGTGTAGAAGTTACAATAACAATATATTTGCAGCTCTGGCGAATTTCCCTTAATGCATAAATGAATTAATTGTACGGCTGCACAAAATTGCGGCACTGATAACTACCCCCCCCCCCCCCACACCCATCCCCCCTCTTTTCTCGATCGAGCCAATCTAGCATCCATCGCCTATGGGAAGACTGCAAACCCCATGTTCTAACTAAAGGAGACTAATTAAATATATTTCGCGAACTTTTTTTTCAAACCTGAACGCAAGTGTTCGTTCCTTATACGCCTGAACACATAAAGATTGATTGGATTGCCCTATCCTTCGTATAGCGAGTTCGCCAAAAAACGTTCGAAAAAAGCTTTTATCGAAATGGCGGAAATTCATTTCTCAACCTATTTTCATTCAACCGTGGTGGCAGCTGGCGACTTGCACTACGAAGATCTACGGGAGCCAACAGATGTACAAGTCAATACTATTTGTGTCATCCTTGATCAGGACAATCGTGCGTTCAGTCAGTTTGCTAAAAAGTTTATCGCACGACCTGTTTTAGGTCCGATGCAACCCCCTTCCCTGCTCCATCCAACCACACTTGAGAGCGGTCGCCTGAATAGATGGCAACCTCGTGACCATCACTCCAACCCCATGGCATTTGTTTAGTAGCTTGGGTTCCTAAACCAGCCGACACACGCTAACTCCGCCTACTTTTTCCTCCCCTCTGAAATGGTGGTGGTCGAGAGCGGGAGAGAGGAATAAATATGTCTCGGCAACAAAAAAACCAATCCTTGTACCTTTCTGCTTATTTTTCAGAGCTTCTGTCAGAATTCACTAAAAAAAAAACACTAAGTTATACGATCCCAGGGTCAACCGTCCGTTGGACAAAGTCCAACGCATGGCTCTCTAGCGTGTGAGAGTAATGCCGAGAGTGAACGTACGCACGGAGACACAGACGGCTCGCGCAAGGCGAGTGCGAATGCCGGCGCGGAGAGCGGTCAACGTCGGTCCAACGTCGGTCCAATGTCGGTCCAACGTAACGGTTGACCCTGACTGCACCTTCCAGCAGCAACGACTCCTGCTCCTTCAAAAAATACGACATCCCTATTTTCTTTTGGACCCATCAAAGACCGCAATCCCACGACCACTCCCAAAAATACCAAATACCGGCCGCTCCTGATCGGTGTGGGGATGTCGACGGCCTATGAGTGTCAGGCTCAGCTAGTCCCACTGCTGATAAAATGAGAAGACTTGGTTCCGTGGCTGACATCAGGAGCCTGGACTGCCAGACCGTGCCAATGGAAACCGAGTGCCGACATGCCAGCCACCACAACAGCACAATGCCCCGCTTTAAGAATGAAGTATATTGATGCAGTTTAAGGACTCAGACTACTGATTATCATCCTGAGGGGATGGACCGCGGTGATCGCAACTCCACATTCTCCAGTTGAACTGTACTGCCTTGCGGGCTAATGAAAGGCCCGAAGTGTAAGCGGTTTGAGAAGGTCAGTCCCGTTAATCTATTTCCGCATCTAGAGTGAAAATAATGTTCCAGAAAGTTGACGCCAACGTCAAAATTGAAGCCACTCCAGAACTGGTCAGAACGGATGATCGACCAGGTGTGAACGGTTTTGTTTCCTTAAGAATACTACCACAATTGCAAAAAGAGCTGGAAGCTCATGACCTTGGAAGGTAGGGTGGGAGGAGGATTGCGCGTCCATTGGGGCGCATAAATAAATAAATAAATAAATCAAGGTTTGCACTTGGCCTAGATTCGCAATAAATGTGCTCATATGCAGTAGTTCGAAAAGTTATTGTAACGAAAGCGAGAGCCTTGGTATGATACTAGTGGTAGTCAGATATCGGACGTTGCCACCCATTAGCCAAAAGTTCTGATTGAGGCACTCGTGCGTAAGACCATAGAGGAGGTTCTGCCCAACCTGGGCGTATATGGTTTGTAGAGCCAAGCTATACGGAAGTAGCTGGAAAGTCCAAAAAATTGGGGCGTGCCGCGACAAATCACCATTCTGAAGGGTCGTCCGTAGCTTGTTTTATGTGATAATAGCGACTCGTTTCTCTACAGATTTGCGACGTACAATAAAGAGCGGATTCTTCTCTATAGTCTACGAAAGTTTGCTGAATAGATCGACGGCGATGAAGCTCTACAAACTTTGCAGAATTTAAACTGTGCTGGAGGAGGGTTGTGGCAGCTTTCATGGGGCCAGCGGCTGGCCATGTTCTTCAGTATCAGATGGAACTGTTACAGTGGAGAATCAATCTTTATATTAATTCAAAAATCATCAAAAACTCTAGGACATGGTGTCCAGCATTCCTCATTATAAAGGGTGGACACATATCTGAAAGTCCTGAACGTACAAATCACCAACCCTTCACTAGTTGCGCACATCGCTTCCCCAAGTGATTCTGTGTAAAAAACTTACTCGGTAGACCTTTGGTCTATCTACTGTCACATTTCTGACGATCTCGATAGCTTCCTTGAAGAGAAATGCATCAAAACCCAACATGATGCCAAATCGACCTTCCCTCAGTTCATCGCCTCAACAGCTCCAGCATTCTGAACAAGCGTTCCAGTAGAATGGGTTTCCTAAAGATTAGCGCATTCAAGATTTTTATTAAACAGAATGGTAGCTACCGAGATACATGCACTTAAAATTCGGGGTCGGAAAACGACAGAACTTTCTGAAACGCCTAATACAAATACTAACGCACGGATGTCGGTATTTTAAGGCCGATGTCAGACTTTGCGAATCGCGCGATTCGCTAGCGTCTGCGGTCGCGTCGCGGCCAGTGAATCACTCAATTGGCTGGTACCGCAACGCGACCGCGGACGCTACAGAATCGGGTGAAGCAGAGGAAGTCAGCTGCTGTGAGTCGTTCCCAATAAGTAGAGATGAGTGGCAATTTTTCAGGTGTTTGACCGCGCCGGAGGCCGGTGAGAGAGATCGAATTGAAAATTCCACTGTCCGATTTTAAAAATGCCACCAAAGTAAAGCACAAATTTTGCTCAGTTGACCATCGAAGTTACAGTAGCTCACCAATCATTATGGCTTTGTTCCACTCTTAAACTGCCCAAAATCCGTCTACTTGTCTGATGGATACAATTACCCGCGCGTAAAATCAGTACCACTGATAACACTTGTGGAAACATTGAAGCGGTAGAGCAGCAACGAGTAGCGTTCGCGATGAGGAGGCAACTCACTCGGGTCAGTGGTGCAGGCGTAATAACTTCGTATAGCATACATTATACGACACAGAAATAGATCCCTTCTTTGCCTATTGGTTTCCGCAATGATGCGACTCATTGATGCTGCCCTCTTCAATGCTAACGCTCTCTCTGCTAAGCGGCTAGAGTAGACGTGAGAAGGTGCTATGCCTGCTCGCGAACGCTAGGAACTAGCTAATGCCTGCTGAGGGACTGCCTAACGTGTATCCGCACCCTGATAGGGCAGCATTTTTCCTCCTCTCCTTCAAGCTCTCAACCTTATCAAGGAATCCTCCCTTTATGTGAATACTATAAGGGTGGAAGAAGATGCATAGGAAAAGATCGGTCCTTTTTTTGCAATGCGCCACGTATTCAAATCCCATCAGAATTGTACTGGCATTTCAAATGAGGTTTTGCATACGCGAAGACTTGCGGAACTGACCCAACGTAGAAATGAGTGTTTCCATCCTCCACAAGTCCGGCACAGCGAAAGCAATACCGAAAAGAAGGGGCTTAGTTGCCCTGAAAAGAGGGGGGAGATGGACGGCGGGGAGCAAATATCTCGCGAATAAACTCAGGGATAGCAGCGTAGAGCAGCATACCACTTTCGCGTCAATCAAAAACAGCAAAAAGATGGAAACTGTAATATGGCATTTTTAGGTACCAAACTCCACAACAGAAACAAGAACTCATACAAAAAATCGTTCAAATAGAAGCCAACTACATACCGAAATCCGTTTACTGAGAGTGTTGTCGCAACTACCAGCAATCGATTTTGTTCACTCGTCATACCAGTTATCTACTAAAGTCGTGATCAAGAGAATTTGCTCTGGAAGAATGTTTTGTATATAAAGTTCACGCAAATTCACATTCACATTAGGAAAAAAGTGGGAAGTGGAAAAGTGTCAAAAATTTAACACTCGGTGCACAACGATTTGTAGGCCACCGGCGCGTGCTGTTGCAAAGCGGTCATTTGCCAAACAATGCGCCCTTGTGCGCAAGTCAGCTTGCTTGGGGTGTGATTTTGAGATTGAATGAGGGTGGAAGGTGAGCAAGGAATTTCTGGGACTTTTGCTGCAAGAACCGCCGTATAGTTCACGAAGAGAACCGTACACCGGGATCGCTTTCGATGCCATTTATTTAACGTGACTCCATTGACTGGAGAACCTAGTGAGTCCCCCTAGGGTCAACCCTACGTTGTTACGAGTAACAACGGGGGGGGGGGGGGTCGTACCTGGTTGAGTTTGTAGGAGGGGGGTCGTCACCCACTTTAGTCGCTCGAAATCACGTGTTGGTGGAAGATGGAGATGGTGGAGGTAGGGAAAAGGGGGTCGTATCAAATCCACGTTGGGGGAGGGGTCGTAAAAAATTTTCGAAAAGTAACAACGATAGGACAGACCTTGGTCCCCACTCCGGGAGCCAGAGAGATCCCGCAAGACCTTTAATGGGCATTCCCTCACTTTCATTTCATTTAGTTAACTCGGTAACTCTATCAACTCTCACACTTTACGTCGCCGCTGTCACCTAATGTGATCTGAGGGGTTGCTTCAAGTGATGCTCATTTTGGGCTAAACCCTTGAGAAAGAGGGACTCCGAGGTGCGCGGGTTTCATTCACCTTTTGCTAGGTTCAGGCTAGCGTTATCCGCAAAACCAAGATTGTCCCACTATATTAGTTTTGCACCAAATGATATAACAACATGATGCGAAGTAAGAATGTCGTGGAACAAGAACACAATCGCAACAGTGAGAAAACCGAGCATGCTCAGAGACTCATGACCGCCACCAAAATCAATCAAGGTGATGCCATATTGAAAATCAGATATCATCTACCCATCCCCACCCGCTCTGGAATTCAATCATGGATCAGTTTATTCAATCTTTCACTCTGGTAATATATAGGAGTGGCAGATTCTGTTGCTACTATTTGAATTCTGAATTTTATAATGGAAAATATGAAGGTCAAACAGATTACAAAGCTCGTGCACGGTAATGGAGCGTTCATAGTTGGTGATCGTACGTGCGACTAGGCGATTCGGTGATGATTTAAAAAGAAAAGTATAGGTATCGATTAGTCGATTAGGTGATTAGTCGATTAGTCGATTAGTCGATTAGGCGGGTAGACGACGAAAGAAGGATGAGTATTGATTTGTTGCTGCGCCCATTGAGCGATCGCGAAATCGCCTAATCGCCTGCTCGCCCAATCGCCTAATCGCACGTACGACTTTGAATACTCCATAAGGAAAAGAGGAATTTCATTTCTCCAGTAACTGCCCAACAGAACTATCTGATTCAGGTGTACGGTAATGAGAATGAGTCGTCTCATCTACAAAGCTCTTCGAGATATAATGATTATCCATCAGAGTCCAATTTTATTCGAATGCCCACCAGGCGCAAACAAGGAGCTGTGGGAGGTGTGGGAAACGGTGCCTCGGTGGTGTCAATGGTAGTACAATTGCCCGGAAAAGCAGGAGATCCGGGTTCGAATCCAGGCCAGGGCTAAGGTTTTCCACAACCATATTCTTTTGTGGTTGCAATTTTCTTTTTTCTACCTTGGCATTCGAACCTTTTTACACGGTATAAGAAAACGTTGGTAGTCACTGTCTAAATTGCACCCAACCGCACCTTAACTATTCTGGCCGAAAACGAATGCATGGCGCATCTTGTGAGAGGAAATAGCGAGAGTTACACTCTTACCAAATACTTCTTTTAAAAACCGCACCTTTTATTCTGGCCCAGGACGAATGCATGGCGCATCTCGAGAGGGAAATATCGAGAGTTTATTCTTACCAGATTCTCCTTCTTAGCCTTTGTTTTCTGATAGGTGAGAACTATCGGATTTCACTTTCATGATTGCCAATCCACAAAGACAGGAAAGAAACAACGGCGGCATAGATGATGACCGATAGCTTGTCATAAAGCCAGCCACACGCGACCAGGTCTATAAACCATGGACCGTCGAATGGTCTGCTAAGCATAACAATTCAAATCAACGACAGATCGTGTTTGTTGGAACTCGCTCTTACGCCATCGTCGCGCTCATTGACACTGCGCTACGTAACGCTGCGTCTCCGCTATGCTTTCCCCCCGGGCAGCCAAGGAGGCGGGCAGCGACATTAAGGGTCGTTCATGTTTCTCCCCCCTAAGGCACCGCCCACGTATGAGCTTACACTTGTCATCGCGTATATCCGGTCAGCTATCGATGGTAACCTACTGGCTTCTGCTGATTTGCTCTTTCTCCATACAACGACTAGCTCATGCTATACCTGTACCGAATGGACAATTGGGTGAGTAGAGATGGTTATGGAAATAAAGAGGATCCCTCAGCCGATCAGCTGATTTTTGTCTGAGCTAACTTGCTCTCTATAATGACTTTCACTTTCTTCCATTGTGAAATCTCTCACTTCGAATGTGGGCGGTAGCTTGCGACTCAAACTCGCTACGTTCTCAAAGAAACTGCTTTCCCAGGGAGGTTTTCAAATAGTATTGACCATGATATAAAAAGCCACCTTCTTACTCCTAAATACTGGGTCTTTTACCCCATGCATACACCTCTGTTCCTCCTACTGGACACATTTTCCGAAAAGGTGACACAATTGCACGATGGAGCTCCTTTCTGTGCAACTAAGACCCTCACCCTTTGAATAAACAAGAAAATAACAGAGTAGATACTGTTGTTGAATTAGGAAGGCGCCATGCTTCCAACTTCCATTCAGAATCGTAGAAACGTTTGAGTGTGTTGCTGTCCCATACAATGACCTGCAGCGGCCAACCTATGTTTCATTCTACCTAATTAGTGACTAATCACCCGATAACTTCGCTGTCTGTCGCGAATGCTTCCTCGCACCCCACCCACCACTCCTCTTCCCCGCCTAGTACGGACGCGCCTTCTTCGAGCGGGCCCTGCAAGTTCGAAGCTCTTTTGAAATATGATTGGTCGCAAGCCACAATTTCAGATTTACAAGAAAGAAAAAACTAGGGGAAGAATATAACCATGGAACTGCATGTCGTAACCCGCTAACCTTTGTAAAAGCCGAGCGTTAGGAGGCACCCTTTGCTGAAGACCGTGCAGTGAGGCTTTTATATGTGCTTCGCACTTTTGGGGTCGGGTCATATGGCTAAAGGGAACCCCCCAGGAAATTTGGAATTTGAATTTAAGCGTCCCTATCCTACCCGCTTATATTTAAGGGTTCCCTACCCACGATGCTATTCTCCCTTAGTTTTTCTTTCTTGTAATCTGAAATGTTGCTTGGACGAATTGTTTCAAAAAGATGCTTCGACTTGCAGGCTCCGAAGAAGGCGAGTGCGCCGAAACGTTAGCCGGATAAATCGTATATCAATCTCGGAAGCTTGGACAGAAGCAATTACAACTGTACATACAATCATGGCCGAGATTAATTGAGAGTCGTAATCATTGGTTAGACGACATGGATTACCCCTCACATCCTGGATCGTCAAGTCGCTGACACTCGGGCAGCATGACTGCCCAAATGAATGACTTCTCTCACTACTTGTCAAATTCGTCCCGTAACCGTTGCTTAACAAGTGTAATTTGTAGACCGTTGGCTTCATGCCTATAAGACCAATCCTGGCTGGGTGAAAATCCCGACAGACCGACGGGACAATAAGATGAGCTTCGGAAGGAACACGATAGACCCAACACTCACCAGATGGCCCCTTTACCTTCTTTGTAAATTGAAATTTTTCGCAAACCCTGGATCGTTTTCTCTCAAAAGAGCGTTCCATACCTATATGGCCTTTAATTGGTACCACACTTGTCTGGGAAAATAAAACCTCTGAATTGTGCACGTACACAATCACGGTTCTTTGCACAATACTAAATCCAGAACGAGAACATCCTTGTCAAACAACGGACAACTGGTACAATCGAATTGTGCCAGATGTCCTGAGACGGTTATAGCGATGTCATGGTACTGTAGTGACTATACAAAAACATTTGGTAGTAAAAAATGGTCAAAAAATCAATTCATGTGTAAACTTCACAGAATAACATCCAGAATGTTGAAAAATGCGAGTAACGTCGAATTTTAGGAAAACCCGAAGTTGAATGTGGTGATACAACGATCGAAGTTGTATTTCTGACCGAAGCACTTTTTGAAGGTAATTTTTTTGTTCGCAAAGATTATTGTGAATTATTTCATGTGACCAAAACCCAAAACGAAAACGAAACGCGAACGGTGCACTGTTGTTGAGCTGTTTTTCGGGAAACGAGAAGAACGTCGAGTACAGATCATACATCACAAGTGACGACGGCTAAGAAAAAGTGGCCGTCGTCACTTGTGATGTATGTGGTGTGTGGTCTGCACACGACGCTCCTCTTGGTTTCCGAAATAGAGGTTACGTATAATCAAATGGACTATATAGTGGTTGGTATGAATTCTAAATCATGAGAGGAACTATTGATTCATTGATTCCAGGGCGAATTTTCGTGATCGGTCGTGCAAATGATAGTAACTGCTTTTCACGGGATGTTGGCCGTCGAACTACATCAATACTTATCGATAAGAACAAATGTGGTGTCGCCACAACACGATCGGTAGGTTCTACCGATCAATAATTGAATGATCGACTCAACCTACGTTGATCCATATCTGCGAACTTATCAATCAGCATTCAGCCAATTACTAGGAAATCGATGAGTGCAAAATTAGTTCAGGGTGTAGGCTCGACTTTTGGATACTGTAGCGGTGCAATGTCCGTTGTGAGATTCATCTTTCGTTTTTTTTTTTCATCAACCGATTACTTTAATTTCGACCAAGGGCTAAGCCAGAAGGGAGAGGGATTCATGGTAGAGATACGAATGCTTATCGCCTGGAATCCATAACGCTCTAGGGGCGTAGATTGTTGATTCTCGTTATTGATTCTTGCGAAGTCATTGTCACATTAAATGTCAACCGTTTTCAAAAATAGAGGTCTGTTCCAGTAAAGGGGGCATTACGGTGCACAGTCTGCTCCGCTACCAGTTTGACTTTAAAGTCCTTTAAAGTCACCAACAGCTACCAATTCTTCTGATGTTGTTTCTTTTGGGTTTTTTTTTTATGTAACTGACCTGTGCTCTTTGTGGTTGTATGACATAAAAATGGGTTCTGATCGTAAGGGGGCTTCAGCTGAGCAAGACGCATAAGGACGGATGCCCTCACCTCCACCCTAAGATGCCTGGGCACAGGTTTCGATGTACAGGACTCCGTGAGGTAGGGTGAGTGTTAGGCAGTGAGGAGGGTGGAGTGGGGGCAGCCTTGACATTGTCCAAGGGTGTGCCCCCTCCCGTTATGGGGAGAACCTAAAAATCTATGGGAATATATTTTCTCTATTTCGGAGATACGAGGAGACGTTGGGGACAGATACGCACAAGCATGTGATCGCGAGGCATAAGAAAAGGAGAACAAAAGCTACTTTGTCGGCAGTCGTAGTCTGTGGCATGTGGTCTTGCACTCGACGCGTTCTCGTTTTCAAATTAGAGGTGTACTGAGTAGCGTAGGGACTAAGCTAGGAAGGCGGAACAGTCGTTTCTGAAGGAACGGAATTAGAACTAGAGGTTTTTCCTTTCTTCTAGGTTCGAAACCATTACAGAGTAGATAGAGTGTGTAGTGAGTTGGCATATGTGTTAGTCAGTTAGAATTGCTTTCCGAATGGAGACAAGCAAGCATATGATATCAGTAGGAGGGGCGTATGAAGTCTCTAAAAAGCTTGTGCTCGATCAAATGATGTCTGTAGGACTGAAACAGGGAAGGCGCTCACCCTGGGGGGACATACAATTTGAGTGAGTAATTGCTGGCCTTGGGACTACCTAAGCTGTCGAGGAGGGATCTGCGCATGTGAGAAATTGTGTTACCTGGCGTGGTCTCCCAGATGGGCTTGGTACTAGTTCCTGTATCGGACTGTTTTTGAATAGTCCCCCCCCCCCCCGCTCCCTCCCTAGGACTATGCGCAGCGGGGTATGTAACAATTGATTAGATTGTAACTTTAGGTCGACTGTGATCTTCAGTGACGTGATTTGCAGATAGATCCTCCTGGATTGGTCTCAAATGTGAAGATTATGATTTCGTTCCACAACGATTTTATCACAAAAGTCGATCGAGTGGGTTTTTTTTTGAAGATTGATTTCTTACAATATTATTTTCACTGTAATGACTCAAGATAAAGTAGCCAATACAGTTATTTTCGCATCTGCAAAGAAGGCGTTCCCGCGAACGGTGGTGCGCTGCGGTCTCTGACCTATTCCAACACGTCATCCCAGTGCATTTTCTAGTGACCAGTCCTGGAATGTCATGAGTTTGACGCTTCAATCAGGAAGATCTTCAGCAGCAATCATATCAGATCGTTTTATTCACTGGCGAGTAAGCATAGCTGACGAGTTGATGAGTTTAGTCCGACCAGTGCTAATGTCAAAGCGAATCCTATCATCTTACAGCTATCGTTAGCAACTGGTATGTACGCGCAGTGGTCGCGGCACCTTCCGCGACAAGTGACCGTAACCAGTTCATAGGGTTGTCAATTAATCTTCCGCTAGTTACTTGATAAGACAGGCTCAACATGCAGCCGCCGTCTGAAACATCCCAGAATGGGCTTAAAGGCACGTTCCGCGATAGCAGAATCGGGGCAATAGTGGCTCACACATGTACCAGGAGGAGCTAGTTGACTCAACAGTAACAAAAAGAGGTAAAAAGAGTTTAGAAAACACTGATGATATGGTCATCTCTTTCCGGATGAGATGCTTTTACGAGACTGATAGTTTAAAGACAATGGATGCCGAAGAGGGAAAATAGACTGGAAGGTTAAAGAGCATGGAGGACGGCTGAGACGCAGACATCAGCGCATTCGCAGCAGTAACTGTGCAAATGCATGGAGTGTACATGGATGATAGGTCTCTATAGCCCTCGTTACCCGTTTTGTCGCAACCTGGCGATACTTCTGCCGCAATGCATTCAGCTATCTCAATCTTGAGAGGGACTGTTCCCACAAGATAAGCACTAAATTCAGTAAGTGCGCGCCCTCATTCAAGGCACACGTGTAAAGATGACTTAAAATTAGAAAACAGGTTAATCTCACATCATGGAGTTGCTCTGGCAATTTGAAGGTGAGATGTTATAAAAAGGAAAAAGAAAGTAAATTAAAATTTTCGGACGCCTGTTCCGTGGCAGTCCATGACCATTCAGGGCTCTCTCACTCCGACCTTCCATTTCTCTGAAGTGACGAAGGAGCGCCTCTAATCAGGAAAGCTTTCAGGTCGTGCCTCGCTTTTTGAAATGGTGTTTTGCAAGATGATGTAGGGGCACATGGAACCTGGAACTCTGGTTTACATTTCCTGAGCGGCTCTCTGGATTTCAAAAATGAAAGCTGGGCACAACCTGAAAGGCCTTGAGGGAGCGGTTTGCGCTACCAACGATAACCGGCCACTGACGCAACATTGTGGATCTTTCCTTTGGATTTGATTGCCTTTACCGAAAACCTATCGAAAATTTTTGTTTACGATTCTAGAAAAATTTTGGCTAAATATTGGGTTGATGCAAATTATTGCGGCTTTTTCCAACAGATTTTATTCAGCGAAAACGACAAAATTATTCAACAAAAACATGTTTAAATAATAACCCCGGAGCGTGGTCACCATCCCAAAAGAATGCTTCCCATTTGCTTTTTCTCGGTGATTCCACGGATAAAAGTCACGATTCTCGGAGACGATCCACGCTCTAACACTGGCCACCAACGCATCCAGCTCATCCTAAAATTTGTTCGTTTGCCAGTTTTTCAACGTCTGATTGAATTGCTAGTCTGTAGGAGCTCCGCTCGGTAGATGTGGCGTTTTAAACTTCTTGAACGATCCTTCGTCTTGGGTTTTGCTAATTGCTCCCTCGCTGAGAAGTTTGATGAGATCGCGGAATGGCCCCGCCGCCTTCTAACATTTATAAGTAGTAAGCATGTGTGGTGAAGATGAGGACAATTTCCGATAAGCATTTCTGTTAATGGAAGAAAGAAGAATATTCTCATGAAAAAAAAACAGAAACTCAAACGCCAATCTTCTCGAGAAAAGAACGCGCGAAAAAAGCCGCAATAATTATGCATCAACCTAATATTTTTCGATGTAAAGGTGGGCGGAATATTATGTTCATGATATAGCCTTAAAACACCTACCGTTCGAAACGTGGTGTACCTTCCGATTCTAGGTTGACCTCGCAAGTGCAGCGTGTTTCAAAGAGATCAAGGATTTATCGCCTTTTTTCTTTTGCATCTTTAAGCTTTCATAATATGATTAGAAATCTTCATTATGCAACGCTTATTATGCAATCAATGCCACATTTCAATTTCTCTGTGAAGAAAGCGTGAGCGCGACCTCGAAAAATCTTGTTGGACGTTAGAATCATAGCAAACGAGTTGGACACATTAGTCTGACCAATGCACGGGTGTGACGACAAAGCTTCTCGTCAAGCTGGTTAGCCGCTAGTGAAAAGCGGACTTTCTCAGTGCGGTCGAAGTTTCTAGCATCCACAGTTGGTGGGCACTTTTTGGGTTGCGCCACGAACACCACTACCACTCGATATCGGTTAGCATTGGATTCGATTTGGCCTACGCACTGACAGGGTATCCTGATGTGCTTCTGAGTGGCTAGTCTTCTCTTACCTAGAGGATCATGCCTGATGGAAGCTTTGTTGGCGCGGTTTCGAGTTCAGAATTCGCCGCTATCAAGTGAAGACAATTTTAACCATACAGGGCCTCGGCCCGGAAAGATACCTGTACAAAAAATAAGAGGTGCTCTTTTCCTAATAATGAAACTAATTTTAAGGGCTACGAAATCAGTTGCCTCTACATGCAAGCTGACAAAACGGTCACATATCCGCTTACGGTGGCAACTCAAGTACGTGACTACGGAATTTTTGGCTGGAACTCTTGGAAACTCATATTTTGTCTTCTGTAGGAAATAGCAGGAATAACGGAACTTGCCGAAATGCCCAGATGTCGCTACGAGGTAATTGATCCTGATACGAAAGAAGCGTTGATGTCGTCACCGTAGCAGTAAATCTCCATCGCATGACATGTGACGCACATCACCCGCGTGAGGTGTCCAAAGTCGAGCACGAATGGAATTTAATAAATTGAGTGCTCTATTTGAGGCGATTTCTAGCATCTTCTATGGAGGGTTTCCTGTTCTCATAGTTTCAGCAGCTTCGCTATTTCGGATTTTTTAAGAGCTTCGATGTCCCAGAATTCGCGCACCACGTCACAGCTTGCAGCCAGTCCCATACCATCTTCCCAGCTAATATTTTTCCGTGCACTTGAATTGTAACACATGTACTTAGGTTATCTAGCGTACTAGTTGTCCAGCACATCAAGAACAAATACAAAGAACTTGCCGAAGACTTCAATATTCATAGGATGCGCCACGCACTCTGATTCTAATTCGAGCTGTAGTGCAAGTTGAATGCGTGCACAAGAAATTGCGGAGGCTAGTCTGATGCTCCCCCCCCTTGGCAACGAGTCTTATCAATCACCTCATCCATCACGCACTAATGCGAATCATTTATATGACCCTTAGCTACAGTATAAATGGCAAGATACTAGGAGATTATTCACTTTCTTTTCGAATCGCCATCGATGAGTCATCAGTGTGGTGACTATCCAGCCAACACCTGGAAATCCGAGCATTACTGTACTGTTTGCGCGCGTACCAGATTTCCCCGCATAGTTGACTCATGGCTAAAGCTAATCAACACAAATCCACAATTTTTCGCTCCTCACAGCAAAAATGGTAGCCAGCGCTAGAGCGTATGCAGCAATCCTGCAGCCGGATTGGGTCTTCGAATCTGTATTTTATGATCGATCTCCTGCCACTTTCCCCAGAAGGACATGTATTATGCACGCATCCTCCTCACTTCCGGTAAGAAATGCTTTCACGACAGGCAGACGCAGACGTTGGAACCTCCCTCTCCGCAGATTGCACCACAGCTCCCGAAATGAGTTCACCTTGCCATGATCCTGAGTCTCATTGTGCTCAGGCAAGACGCTAACCAGGCTTCGCTCAACTCGAGCCGTTAAGTAAAAGTTTACCTATTACAGAGAATTCACAGAACTCAACAGATTCCCAAGACGAGTTTTCGTGAATGCCAATATAACTTCCGATCAAGATTGAACTAAAGCTATGGTACGTATACCATGAAAAGCTGAGTTGGAATGAAATGGTGCCCCGGTAGCGTAACTGGTAGCGCACTTGCCCGGAAAGCGAGAGGTGCGGGTTCTAGTCCCGCCTGGGGCGAAAGTTTTGTTCACAACCCAGCATTCTTGTGAAACATTCGCAAGGCGAACTGCGGCGCCAAAAACAGCAGTTAACAAACAAAACAAGTCAAAAAAATTGTTTTACAAGATTTCTGGTGCATGACCGTTCACTCGTGCCATGTTGAGGATGGTTCCGGGACGACATTCACAATTCTGGATGACAAAGGGTAATGATGAACAAATTAAACTACTTAGCTTACCATCGTTATTGGGTCACTGACTGTCATTTGAACACTATTTAAAAGTACCGTTCCCACGGAATTGTGATGTATTCATAACCAGTAGGTACTACAAACCATGTGGGAATCATGTCTCATGTATTTACAGTCAATCCCCTAGACAAAAATTCTGTTGAAAAATCGAGGAATCTATCCAGGAGAGCGGCTGCAGTGCAAAAGCGCCATGTTGCTTATTGCACTTTCTAAACACACACGTATTCAACACTTTCACTTCATTCTATAGATTCAGAACAAAGCCTTTAGAAATTTGAACTAGCTAGTGCTAAGGGTCCTAAGATTGCGTTAAACAATTTGTTTTCTCGAGCATCCTACCCACTCGTATAAAAAGGATAAAGGATAAAGCATTTGCCGTTGATCAATCCCTTTTTGGGATGCGGCACGCATTCTACTTCCATTTGTACATTCGTAGTGGCGTTTGAATGCGATGTGGCCTATACAATGACTTGCGGGGGCCAGCCGATGTACAAGTCAGTGTTTTTATCCTCCCAGACAAGTCTGGTACCAATTAACCGACCCCGGAGGGATGGAAGGCTTGGTTGGCCCGGGCGACTCACGACCCAGGATTTGATCCCCGGACCGCTCGCGTGGTGAGCGCGCCACTTGTCACTACACCACTTCCGCCCAGCAGAATCTTCAAAAATCCTACATCTCCTGGCACACAACTGTTTCTTCCTAAATCCAGTGCATAAACCCGCACCACATATATATTTGGGAAAAAAAGGAAGGACAAAGAAATGGCGTAGGAATGGAGCCACTAGTAGTAACTATTCGAAGGACTCGTTGGCGGAGCTGGGATTGGAGCGGACGGTTCAGCACAAGCTTCCCTTGTTTCTATTAAGCATTTGCTAAGCAGAAACGTTCCCACTTCATGTGAAGGGAATATGTTAGGATAAAAGGAAAAAAGGATAAAGCATTTGCCGTTGATCAATCCCTTTTGGGATGCGGCACGCATTCTACTTCCATTTGTACATTCGCAGTGGCATTTGAATGCGATGTGGCCTATACAATGACTTGCGGGGGCCAGCCGATGTTCAAGTCAGTGTTTTTTATCCTCCCAGACAAGTCTGGTACCAATTAACCGACCCCGGAGGGATGGAAGGCTTGGTTGGCCCGGGCGACTCACGACCCAGGATTTGATCCCGGACCGCTCGCGTGGAGCGCGCCACTTGTCACTACACCACTTCCGCCCTATGTTGGGACCGTTAGAAGAAATAGCAAAACTTTCCAGTTGCATTTGCTTTATCACTTGATCATAGTAGGAATGAGCTCAGCTCGACTAGAAAGATACGCTCAACGTTTATCCTGTTTTTTGAACTCTTATTTGAGCAGTCTCTTCGTTTTTTTGATCTCTATTGGGGTACCGACGTCATTTCATGGAATTACGGATACACGTAGGAAGGAAGTGGATGCGGCTTTTGTGGCCTGTGTCTTTAACCACGAGCTTGACTGATCAACTAGGATGATCGAAAAAAATTGAGAGATCGAAAGGAATCCGAATATTTGTAGGTCAGATGTAGTACTATGCCGTCCATGTAGCTATATAGACTGATCTTGGCCACGAGATCCATCTCAAGCCGATTCCCAGGGTATCATCCAGTAAGCCGGAGACATGTGGAGCAACAGCTCATTGTCGGAAAGCTCCAGGGTGGGTGTAAAGCGAAAACGGAATGGTTCACGCACCTTGAGATTTCCTCCTGGAATTTCAGGCGGACAGCAACTATGGCACGGGTACCCCCCAGGAGGCCCGTCGCGCGGCAACAAGGCCGAGTCAGCGGACGAGTCGCGCGCGTACTATAGGGATTTCGCGTCAAGTTAAATAGAATGTCCCATTGCACGTCCTACATCGCACATCACGCGCTGCGACTCGTCCGCCGACTCTGCCTTCTTGCCGCGCGACGGGCCTCCTGGGGGTACCCCTGTGGCACCACACGCCCCCTTACTAGATGAGTCCGGATTCCCATTACCACAGTCGTTTAGTGGGCAATTCTGAGGTAACCTATACTATCCATTTCTATTGATTTGGCAAGCGCTGGCTCATCGCCATATGAGCGTTCCAACGGTTCTACTGATCCTCTTTGCTCTGGCAACATTGGGAAGATTCATTTAGCTAAGACTTGAGGTAACCAACATGCCGAATATCTGACGTGAAACAGTCGACAGAGTCCGTGGATGCAGATCACCCATAAGATCTACTGCATTTTTCAGATGCTCCATCGATCGGTACCTTCTTGACAATCTTGAATATGGTCCCGGAAAATTGCAAGCTCAAAAGGAAGCACATGCGTTCAAATTTCGCAGACAAGGTATACTTCCTAGTCAATTTTAATAGCTTAGAGTGCGCCGTATTCGCAACTTTTTATGAAATTAACTTTTTCAATAAAGTTCTCTAATTAGTTGCTGATCTCTACAGGTGGTGGTAAACTTCCAGTGCAGCGTGCGTCTTGATCTACGGGGTGAAACTGAGTGCCCGGTAAGTGTCTTGCGAGACCCATAATCGTTAGCTAATTTCGGTGGTGGATTTTTGAAACATCTGTTCGTTTTCAGATTCCTGCCTGTGAAGATCCTATCAAATTCGAACGGCGGTTACGACCACGATCAGCAGGATTTATTCATGAGGTAGGCTCCATGTGAAGTCACGGTTCATGAGGGAAACCATACTGTCCAGATTAGTTCCACCCTCCTACAGACTTACGTGTGTCCATTTCCTCGATCTCTTATCGTTAGCTTGAAGGCGGAGTAGGCAGTCCATTGAAATCAAGGCAGGTGATCAGTGTGCCATCAGGTAAAAATTCATGAAGAAGTGCCCAGAAACCAAGAGATGGACTCTACATTGCCCGTTACTCCGCGCTAAATGCGACTCTTATCGTGGCGGCCGTTTCCCAAGACTACCCATCTCTCTCCTACTGAACCGGCTAGAAAGCTGTAGCGATATGTGAGCAGAGGTTGCAAATGCGCCGCCAACAGCGTGGGGGCGTTGGAAAGAGCTATGCTCTATTGGCCGGAGGATCGTGTCGGCCCCAACTTTCTGGGGGTTCCTCTCTTTTTCACTAGTAAGTTTTTCCTCTGGTTGACCTCGCCTTATCGGTTAAACGACAGGATGGTCCGTCGCACAGCAAGAACGCAAATTCAAGGACGAGTCACAGTGCGTGATGTGCGATGTGGGACGTACAAAGGTACACTCTACTCAACTTGACGTGAAATCACTACAGCACCCGCTGCGACTCGTCCGCTGATTCTGCATTGTTGCCAGCGACGGGCCTCCTGTCGAACCTTACCCAACCTTATCGTGGAATCCTCCTTTAATTCGTTGGTAGCGAATGTAATGAGAAGCTATACTTATTTGCTATCGGAAACGAAAGGGCTGAGTTCCCCAGGCTGGTCCGACTTTGCGGTCAATCGCTAGCGATCGCGTGAGTCGCCAAGTCTAACACCAGTCTTAGCAAAGCTTGGGCGCATAATCCAACCATATCGCTGCACGCCCACCAATATCACCTGTATCACCTGTCGTCCCGTTGATCGTCGATTTGCTCGAGCGGGCGCCAGCAACGTCTCCATTCGTCCCTGTCGCGTGCTAGAGTGTCCAGTGGATCCTCCTCGCTCGAGGGACACGAAGCCTTCATTCCTTTCGTTCAGAGCTTTCGTGAAGAAGTCTGACCATCGGGCCGACTTCTTAACGTAAGCTATGAACGAAGGAATGAAACGAAAGCCGCCGCCCAACATAACCGTAACAGTTGGCATGGGCTGACAAAGAAAGGCCCTCGAATCGCTATGGTCACTCAGCATGAGATGAATACGCCTAAATTCGCTTGAACACCAGTCTCCAATCTATGCTCATAAATATGCTCAAGTGGTCCCAGACTTCATCGTAAACCCATTTTAGAGGTGAATGAGAGCAAGGACTTTCACAGAAGTATTCTTAGAAGCACCGCGCACAAAAGCAAAGAAGTAAACCCGCACAGGGACCGATCTCACGAGCATTTTCCTAAGAGCCACACCATTACCGCTGCGCTTTTACGGCTTCATAACTCCGCTCAGAGAGTCGTTTAGCAGATTTGGAAGGCAGATTATGCAATCAGCATACAAATCCACATATTTGAGTAGACAAACATCTCATCTTGAACGGCCACGGCAAATTGGAGGCATTTCTTCGTGATTCTAGTCTGGCTATGGCAAAAAGTGGTTGAGGTGGGCTTGAGGAAAGGTTAGAGCGCCCCTATTTAGAACTAGCGTTTTTTCATTCTACCGTAAATCCCAAGATTGAGAGAGCTTGATTCCCTATCGTGGGCTAATCTGCTGGGAAGCTTCGCCCATAACCAAGTACACTCCAGATTCCAATCTTCGATGCCAATGGTAGCGTCGAGGTGGACGTACGTGCTCAACAGATCGACGTGTTGGATCCTCAGATCGGTGAGTTCGTAGTGAATCCATTTCGGCAGTCTCGACTGACCCACTCATTTCAGACTTCGGATTCGATGCCGACGACAAGCGTATGCGCTCGGTCCTGCAACGACTACGCGGTGACCGAGACTGCATCGCCAAACACCATTTGATCATTCCAGCAGCCACCGCTATTTCTTTGATTATTTCGCTTATCGGAGTTGTTTTCATTCTGCTAAAGCGATCCTATCCTCGAAAACCGTGAAACTCGTCCTCGAAAAAAATCTACCTCCTGCCAGTTTGCTCCGCCCACTATGAAAAGTGGTTGCGCAACATATTTGTGTTTTTCACATATTAAATATAGCGCTATCACCGTCTATGAATGAGATGAGAAACGCCTCAGGGTATTAATTACTTAATTGGGGGTCTATTCCAGTTAGGGGGGCATCATGGTGCGGCGACTCCCAAAAAGCTACGGTAACTCTGAGCCAGG